ATTCAAAGAAGAGCTAATACCAATTCTCCTCAAATTGTTCCACACAATAGAAGCAGAAGAGTCACTGCCAAACTCTTTTTAGGCTATAATTACCTTGGTACCCAAGCCACAAAAAAAAGACACAACTAGGAAAGAGAATTACAGACCAATATCCCTCACAAACATTGATGCAAAAATACTCAATAGAATACTGGCAAATCGAATTCAAAAACACATCAGAAAAATCGTACACCATGATCAAGTAGGCTTCATCCCAGGTATGCAGGGACGGTTCAACATACAAACATCTATCAGTGTAATCTACCAGGTATAAAAACTGAGAAAGAAAAACCACATGATCATCTCACTAGATGCTGAAAAGCCTTTGACAAAATCCAACACCTCTTCATGATAAATATCTTGGAGAGATCGGGGATAACAGGAACATACCTAAACATAATAAAAGCAATATACAGTAAACTAACATCAAACTAAAAGTAGACAAACTCAACGTGATTCCTCTAAAATCAGGAACAAGACAAAGCTGTCCACTCTTTCCATATCTCTTCAATATTGTACTTGAAGTTCTTGCTAGAGGAATAAGACAACAAAAGGAGATCAAGGGGATTCAAATTGTAAGGAGGAAGTCAAACTTTCACTATTTGCAGATGATACGATAGTTTACATAAGTGACCTGAAAAACTCTACCAGGGAACTCCTACAGCTGATAAACACCTTCAGCAAAGTGGCAGGCTACAAGATTAACTCAAAAAAGCAGTAGCTCTACTATATATGGACAATAAATGGGCTGAGAAAGTAATCAGTGAAACATCACCCATTACAATAGACACAAACAACATAAAATACCTTGGGATAATGCTAATCAAACAAATGAAGACCTGTATAACAAAAAGTTTGAGTCTTTTAAAGAAAGAAATTAAAGAAGATACCAGAAAATGGATAGGTCTCCCATACTCTTGGATAGGTAGAATCACCATAGTAAAAATGGCAATCTTGCCAAAAACAATCTACAGATTCAATGCAATTCATGTTAAAATACCTGCACAATTCTTCACTGACCTTGAAAGGACCATCCTCAACTTTAAAAGGAAAAACAAAAGACCCAGGATAGCAAAAAAAACCCTGTACAATAAAGGAATGTCCAGAGGCATCACCATTCTTGACTTCAAGCTCTATTATAGAGTCCAGAAAACAGCTTGGTATTGGCACAAAAACAGACAGGTAGACCAATGGAATCTAATTGAAAACCCTGATATTAACCCACACACGTATGAACACTTGGTTTTTGACAAACAAGCTAAAATTATAAAATGGAAAAAAGAAAGCATCTTCAACAAATTGTGCTGACATAACTGGATGCTGGCATGTAGAAACCTGCAGATAGATCCATGTCTATCACCATGCACAAAACTTAAGTCCAAATGGATCAAAAACCTCACCATAAATACAGCCACACTGAACCTCTTAGAGGAGAAAGTGAGAGATACCCTTGAACAAATTGGTACAGGAGACTGCCTCCTGAACAAAACACCAGTAGCACAGACACTGAGATCAACAATTAATAAATGGGACCTCCTGAAACTGAGGAGCTTCTGCAGGGCAAAGGACACAGTCAACAAGACAAAACGACAGTCCACAGAATGGGAAAAGATATTCACCAATCCCACATTTGACAGAGGGCTCATCTCCAAAATACACAAAGAACTCAAGAAGCTAGCCACCAAAACACCAAATAATTCAATTAAAAACCGGGGTACAGAACTAAATAGAGAATTCTCAATAGAGGAATCTAAAATGGCTGAATGACACTTAGGAAAGTGCTCAACATCCATAGTCATTAGGGAAATGCAAATCAAAACAACTCTCAGATACCATCTCACTCCTGTCAGAATGGCTAAAATCAAAAACACCAAGGACAGTCTATGCTGGAGAGGATGTGGAGAAAGGGGAACACTCTTCCACTGCTGATAGGAGTGCAAAATGGTACAGCCACTTTGGAAATCAGTATGGAGATGCCTCAGGAGAATCAGTCTACCACAAGATCCAGCAATTCCACTCTAAGGCATATACCCAAAAGATGCACATTAATACAAGGACATCTGTTCCACTATGTTCATAGCAGCATAATTTGTAATAGCCAGAACCTGGAAGCAACGTAGATGCCCCTCAACTGAACAATGAATAAAGAAAGCATCGTATATTTACACAATAGAGTACTACTCAGCGGGGGGGGGGGGGGATGGAATCTTGAAATTCTCAGGCAAATGGGTGGAACTAGAAGAAAACATCCTGAGTGAGGTAACCCAATCACAAAAAGACAAACATTATATGTATTCACTCATATATGGATTTTAGATATAGAGCAAAGGGTTACCAGCCTAAAATCCACACTCCCAGAGAAGTTAGGAACAAGGAGGACCCTAAGAGAGACCTACATGGTCCTTCAGAGAAAGGGAAAGGAATAAGATCTCCTGAGCAAATTGGGAGCATGGGGAGAGGTGAGAGGGAGTTAAGAGAAAGAGAAAAGAAGGGGAGAGGAGGACATGAGGGAGCAGGAAGATTGAGTTAGGGCAAGAATAGAGGAGAGCAAGAAAAGAGATACCATAATAGAGGGAGCCATTATAGGTTTAAAGAGAAATCTGGCACTAGGGAAATGTCCAGAGATCTACAAGGATGACCCCAACTAGTAATCTAAGGAGTAGTGGAAAAGCTACCTTAAATGTCCTTCTCTGATAATGAGATTGATGACTACCTTATTTACCATCCTAGAACCTTCATCCAGTAGGTGATGGAATCAGAAGCATAAATCCACAGCTAAACACTGAACTGAACTCCTGGAATCCAGTTGCAGAGAGGAAGGAGTGATGAGCAAAGGGGTCAAGACCAGGCTGGAGATGCTGACAGAACTAATTGACCTGAACAATGGGGCGTTCAAGGACCCCAGACTGATAGCTGAGAAACCAGCATAGGACTGTTCCAGACCCCCTGAACGAGGATGTCTGTTTGGAGGACTCAGCAGTATGGGGCCTCTGTCAGTAGATCAGTATTTATCCCTAGTATACAAATGCACTTTGGGAGCCCACTTCACACAGATTCTCTCAGCCTAGACACACCGAGGAGGCCTAGGCCCTACTGCAAATGATATGACAGACTTTGAAGATCCCACATGGAAGGCCTCACCCTCCCTGGGAATCAGAAAGGGGATGGGGTAGGGGGTTGGTGGGTGGCAGAGGGGGAGGAGAGGGAGAAAGAACTGGGATTGACATGTAAAACAAGCTTGTTTCTAATTTAAATTGAAAATTTATTTATTTGTTCATTTATTTATTTATTATGAATACGGTGTTGTTCCTGTACTCAAGATGAGGGCACCAAATCTCATTATAGATGGTTGTGAACCACCATGTGGTTGCTGGAAATTGAATTCTGGACCTCTGGAAGAGCAGTCAGTGCTCTTAGCCTCTGAGCCATCTCCCCATTTCCAAGTTCTGGGTTCTTAACTCTTTTAAAACTAGCAACCTTGCCTCGAGCCTATATTGACCATGTGAACCAAAATCCTGTCCAAGCACAAATCCCTTCTGATGAACAGCTTTGGACCTGGATCTCCAGATTTTCATGGCTAAAGAACTTGTATCTAGTCCTCAATTTCAGCCTATTTCCTAAATGACTTTAGGGACTCTTAACTTGGGAATAATATAGTAGTCTTGGAAACCACTAAAGATAGGTCTTAGGGCTCTCTTAAGGCTTACTAGGGAGAGCTATCTCCTCCAGGACAGAAGAATTGAGTCTGCCTACCTTAACAGGTGGATCTGTTAATCACCTGAGCATAATACCACCACTCAAGAAAACTGATACATCTCAAGCCATGCTAAGGAGAAAATCCCCTTAATGAGATAATCTACTTATTCAAAAAAAACTTTATGAAAATGCTTACAGAGCTCCCTTATGTAAGACTGAGGAGAAAGCCTACTTTTCTGAGTTACTCAGAGAAGTGTAAATTTTTTGTACTTTCTCTTTTTCTAAAACTTAGCATGCTTTCTTCACTGAGGCCCTTCGATTATTCACCCTTTCTCTAAAGCTCCCACTGGTCTTTTGCCTGTGGCTGCTTAGAAATGGCATGTCTTTCTGTCTTCCTCTTCAATCATCCTCCAGTTGGGAAATTTATAACTTGTCTGCCCTGTTGTTTTCCTCTTAAACTGTAATAACACTGCCCTCCAGGTTTTGTTTGTTTGGTGTGTGTGTGTGTGTGTGTGTGTGTGTGTGTGTGTGTGTGTGTGTGTGTGTTTCTAAATTTAAACATGGAGACTAAGAACCAAAAGAGGAAATCCCAATTGTGATGGGGCTCTACAAATTTTTGGTAACACAACTACATTCAAAAATGTCCGATTCCTGTGAGCATATTAAGTGATGAGTATTGTAATTACAGAGTAAGTCAAGCAATACTTTTCCTAAATAAAGTTGTTTCTTCATTGGCCCATTACTCTTGAATAGGTGTGTTGTAGTTTCTTCTCCGAGCAATCCTCTCTTCTGCAACTTGCCTTAGAAGGCAGAACTTACACTATCATCACCCAGGCTCTGTGATGCTCTGACATTTACTGTATTTGGCTAGTGAGAGGAACCAAGAAATCAGAGTCAGGAAGAGAGAAGAGTCTGAGTATTTGTTTCTGCTTCTTCTTTCCTGCCTGGCTGTGGTTTGGACACCAGCTGTTTTCCACTCTCCAAAGCCAGAGTGCTTGCTGCATCACTCACATCATTTGTCTAATTCCTTTACAACAGCTTTGACCTCACTTCAAGTTCGGTTGCAAAGGCAACTCCCCACACTTGGTTCCTAATGCTTCTCCATCACTTGCAAATCAGCAATTCACCTTTCCTGCTCATATCATAAATGTAACAGCTCCATTGAGCCCTATATGATAAGCAGTGTATCAACTCTTAGTAATCATGTTGGAGAGGAGATTCAGGAAATATGAGCAACAGCGAGAAACAGAATTTCAGCTACGTACCAGTAAAGCAGCACAAATTGGACCATGGATAATGTAGAGGAGATGGGTATCCGAGCTGATCCAGCAGCTGGGGGATAAAGTGAAGATATTATGTAGAAGGTTTTCCTTTAATTTAGTTCTAACAGAAGTCACAAATGGAAGGTATCTTACTTGTCATTGTAATACAAGCTTCTGGCAATGGCATGGATGCAGGCAGGAAGCAGTGGAAACCCTGCAAATGAAGCAAAAGCAAACAAATGGGTATCTTTCCTTACAAATGAGGCTTCTCAAAAAAGTCATGAATCTGAAATTTCAAGACACTTTAGTAGCAGGAAATAATTAGCCACCTATGTTTACTGTGTAACCTCATATGCACAGCCAAGCAATAATTGTGACAAACTATCAGGTTTGAATATCATTTCGAACCAGTAAGATTCCAGAGATTAACACTATAATATGCTGTTTTAGTCACAACCCTTAAAAGAATTTCTGTATTCATTTAATTTCTGTGGGATGAACTTGGCTAATATTTAATAGCAAATGTTGGAAAATTTTGAGACTGATAACTATTTCTACTATAAAACACAGATTCACAGTAAGCCATGTTTTGCAGCAAAAGAGAAAACTATGATTCTCATGCCAAGATTTCCGCATGTTTTGAACCTTCTAAATAAGATCTTGAAAAATGGAAGTGAAGAAATGTTTTATAGAAACAATCAGGATGCACTGACAATTTGGTGGGTAAACATGAAAACCTCTTTAAATCTACCTCAATATCTACATCTCCATCTAGGCAGATAGTTTAAAAAATAAAATGTCCATTTTATCTCTGGAAACTAGTCCTAATAAATCAATTTCCTGCATATTATGCTCATATGCATTATTCCAATGGCCTTAAGAAGCACAGCAGTATGTTTCGCTGTTAATTTTTGGGAGTAACACAATGGCAAGAGATTATGTGAAAGAAGTAGATCTTTTGCATACTTAAATTCAATTACTGACACCCCTAGTTTAACTATAAAATAAAAGTTTAAGTAGATCTCTACAGGGCTGGATGTGGTGACATTCCAGCACTCAGAAGGCAGAAGCAGGTGAATCTCTGCAAATTCAAACCCTTCCTGGTCTACATGGCAAATTCTAAGCCAGAAAGATCAAAGAGACAAATGGAAAGAGAGAAGAGGGCTGGGAGAAAAAGAATCTCAAAGATTTCCTGATAGACTTCAAAGTTACTTAACACCAATGTCCTCATTTTACACGTAGAAGTTCATGATCAAAGGAAATTCAGAAGAGTGCAGCGACTAGATCTTTAATTCATAATTTTAATTTTATTGTTTTAGTCACTTTGCATTCAGCTAGCGTAAGCTTGTCATTGGAATATCAAATGTGTAGAAAAGTATCAGATTATTAATCAAAATGAGACTAGATAAACCATGAGTTTGTGACACTTTGCTTTACATATTTCAATTCATCACAAGGGGGAAAGCCTCAATTTACATGTTAAGAATCATCTTGATCAGATGACTATGAAGGTGATGACAGTGGCACCTACCCCAGCCAAGAAAGTAATACCACATCAAGTGCTGCTTCTCTGCAAACACAGCCACCACGATGAGTGTGTGCAGGTAAATGCCTTCACAGAGCATCCAAAAGTAGTTACAGCCCATCAGGTAAAGATGAATGAACTGAGACACTTTACAGCTCACCTGTGACAAGGGAAGAGTGTTTTCTTAGTCTATGACATCCACACATGAAGCAATTGTCCAGTTGATTTCAGAAACCATAGAATGTTTCTTTACCTCACATAACTGTGCACACTAGGGAGTCTGGCTTGTACAGTGCTCCTTTGAACTCTCATCCTATGATGGCTCTTAAGTTCCTAACCATGAGCTCTATCAATTCGTGAGGATCATGTGATAGCCCAAACCAATCTCCCTTTGCTTAGAGGTGTCTGTTTTTCTAATGAGTTCTGGTTATTGTATAATTATGATATAAACAGTCCACATATACACAACTGCACATCTGTTTGATTTTGGTTGCTGTTTTTGGTTAGAAAAACATTGATAGTCTTATATGACTTAATAAAACATGTCCAAATACTTGGCAAGTTTTGTATCCTTCATTCCACAGGCATAAACAAAACTTACTAAGTCATTCCATAATGAATCTACAAATTGACCAAATACAAAATAGGAGATTTTTTGTATCAGACACAGATAAAAAACTGTGACTTAGCTTCCTCTTTTCCTTGGGTTCCAACTTTCTCCTCTCTTAGAGAGGGAAGAAGAGTTTTAAATATCAGATAAAGGAAACACAAAAGAGCAAAGAGATAGAAGTACTTCCCTTTTCAAAGTTAAGTGAGTATGTGGCAATCTTCAATTTCCAGTCAGAAATTCAATACATATTTAGTGGTTATTATAATTTTTTAAATAAACATTATTTTAGAAGCCTAAAGCACTGGGAAATAAGTTTAAAGTTATCATGGGCTAGAACAAATAGCATTGGTATAAATGTCAGCCTAAAGCATTTATACAGTTATCATTTTTACATATTTATCAAATCCGTGAATATTTCTGTGAGGCATGCATTAAAAAACTAGTAGTAGAAAAGTTAAATTATTTGCAAAAATTTATATAACATTATTTAGAGCTGCATCCTATACAAAAGTCTACAAATTTATTTTCATTATTAGAGGTAATAACATCTTCCTAAAGGTATCTGTAATGTCATTTCTTCATTTAGGATGTGTGAAAAATTTATTTACAAATTATTAAATAATGTAGATAATCTTAAATATGACAAGATGATATTCAAGTCTCTTAAAGATAAAATAATTTTAACTACATGGTTTGAGCATATTTATGATGTTTTTAGCCTTTAATATTTACATAAGTATTACATTCTTTTCTAATCCGATTGGATTCTGATGTTACTTTAATCCCAGCACTCAGGAGGCAGAGACAGGTAGATCCCTGAGTTTGCGGCCATTCTTGTCTAAAGAGTGTGTTCCAGGCCAGTCAGAGCTACACAGAGAAATCCCATCTCAAAACTTTTTTAAAATTAAAAATAAAATTAATATAAATTACTATGAGGGAAAGCATTTAGGATATACTTCAGAAAAATATTTCTGTGGAGGGCCCTGCTAATGTAATCAGAAAATACTTTTTTCCAGATAAAAAATTTACTGTACTTTAACTCAGACTTTGTCTATTAAATATATATCCTTATGCATAAATATAAGATTCAGAAACTCTTGCTGTATTACAAAAAGGACCCTCTTATTCCTAGAGAAATTCATTCTGAAATGGCAGAATGCCATTGTTTTATATTGCTAATTATATCCTGGTCTGTTTCCTACCCCAGTGACTTTAGAAAGAAACACAAGAAAGATTAAATCACCCGGATGCACATGTGCAAACAATGGGAGAAACTTTAGAACTTTGTAAATTACCCTAAAAACACACATAAAACATATACAAGAGTGTTATTTATTGACCCATTTGTTGGAAATTCCTTCCCTTCTCTGATTTTAGTCACTAGATAATATAACCCAGAAAACACAACTTAATGTTCCCAAGAGTATATACACACACACACACACACACACACACACACACACACAACACATATTGGCACACACTACACACATACACACACATATATACACAACATACATGCACACACACCATTCACATACACACACATCACACACATGCGCACCATATAGTCACACACAACAGATACATACACACATTCCACATATACACATACCACACACACGATACATACACACACACACACCATACATACACACAGAGTTACTACAAAAACACAGACACACACACATCCATATCCAAACTTAGAATTGTGCCACAATGTTAAAGTAGAAGATTCTAAAAGTGTGAATATTTCTGCTATATAAATGCATGCATTTTACTCCAAGTATAATTTACATAAATACCATAAATAATTTATATACATATAAATTTAAGCATATATTTTTAATATATAGGATATAGGAAGAAAATTTTATCAGCATATATTGAGACAATGATGGTAGAGTATTCTAACACTTTATTTTAATGAGTTTGACATTACAAAGTATGTAAATTCTTATCTTCCTGGTTTTGTTAATTTTTAACATAAGCCTGATACCAAAATATTTAAAGCTCCCATTACATATATTGTTTTCTTTCATGTAAGTACTCAGTTGCTTTGATTGCTTTTTAAATTGAATTGAGCAAATGTTGTGTCATCATAGTCTTATGGGCCAGCAGCATCAGAACTCCATAGCCATGACATGACCTGAAGCCACAGAAATACTGAAGGAAATTTACCTTCCTAGACTGTAATATTGCTAAGGTATACTTTCTGTATGTCAAACCCCAAAGTTTACATATGTATTTATTTAATGACATATATACTCCATACCAAAAACCACCCCCATCCCATGTCTCTTCCCACTGGTTCTCAAAGATACAACCATGCATTACTTACAGGATTTGTGGCCACCAAGGTCTGGTTATTGGCCACTGCAGTGAGGTGAATGATTGTCACAATCGAATTACAAACAAATGAAAAGAACAGGTTCTTATGCAAGGTGATCCGTTGGCAGCTTAGGCTCCTACGAGGCAAAAGAAATATACTGTGTTGATGACATAAAATGTTTCTACATTTTTAATTAAACGTAATTTAAATAAAGTATACTTTCAGCTAAAAGAGGTTGCTCTAATTTTGAAAAAAATATTTTGTTTATCCATAATTTTCACTTGATAGAAAAACCCAGATGGAAATGAGTTGATTGAGTAGAGGTGTTCATATATAGCGATGGGGAACTTGCCTGTACAACACCTCTGCACTAATTTCGTCTGTTTAATTCAAACACAATTAATATTTTAATTTACTTTGCAAAAGCAGAGAATGAGGTTCAGTAAAGCTACATAATCAAGAACATGATGATAATGAACTTGAATACTTCAATTTATCTGATGCTCTCACACAGACAAAAAGCCTCTAGTTACACTACACAGTGTGCTTTGTGTATAGATAAGTATATTTTATTGGAGTGGCAATGACTATATTTATTTGACCACTCATCGGAAGTGTAATTGCATTTAAACTAGCTGCATTGTTGAAAATTAAAAATTATTAAGGATTGTTTGGTTTCATTGATTACTTTCCTGATGGCCCAGATGTCCGCCATATATATATATATATATATATATATATATATATATAAAGAAGTTGACCTTAATTCACAGTCCATCTTGGATTTTTTTGTACATGAATACCTTGACCACATTCAAGGGAAAATTCCAGTACAGGTTCCCTCATGAAGCAACTGAACAGTTTTATTTGAGGTTCCAGGTAACGACAACAAAATGAAACCCACGTGACACTGACAGCTGACTGGCAAAGTTCAGCACCTGTGTAGGGATTCATGATGCATCACTTCATTGCAGAAAATAAGACCTCATGTGGTTGGCCAAAACCATTCTAGATAGTCTTTCTTGAGAAACCACCCTACGCAATTCCAAGACTCTAATTTGAAAATAAAGATTTAATATAATTTTGTCACTTCCCTTTGCATTAAAAAACAGAATGTGTCAAAATTTGGAATTAGAATAGGTTATCAGTGTTTTCCATGTTTAAAAATACAAAGTTTAGACTATTTTTCTTCTGAAATGTTTGCAGCTCTGTGAAAAAAAATATATATATATTCTATTTCAAAGAATGAGAAAGTCAACATAACCCAAACTAATTTTTACAGGTTGCCAATACATGCTGGATGCTATTTGTGAAGATTTATAAAAGATTAATGATGGGATAGTTCTTAAACCAACCATTGAGTGTAGTTGAGACAGTCATTTAAGAGCAGGTGTTTGCAACCATTTGTAATCCATCAAAATAGAAAGAATTGTGACTCCTGGTTTCATGCTAGAGTCTGTGAACTTGACTTGATTTCACAGTGCATAGAAGCAATGAATGGAAGACTTGGGTAAATTTTGATCTAAGAGTATTGAAAATACCTTATAGAAAATGGGAATTTTTAAAGAAATTCAGCACTGAAAGACAAGCCTATTTCGATAAAATGACAGCAGTGACATGATTTTGCTTATCAACAATGAAGACAACAGATGAATAGGATGGGACTACTTAAAGATATTCTTCTTACAGTAGCTAGTATTATGCATAGCTTATTTCTATAATGCATCACTCTCCTATGATGAAAGTCACGGGCATACAACTGTCTGTTGGGAACTTCCACTATTTCTGTGGAGTTGAAGCACTTTTGAAGGAAGAACTATTTAGTAATGCACATATTTGCTTCTTTGGGTTATAGAATTTAAGTAAATGAGATACCAGCAAAATGTGTGTGTGTGTGTGTGTGTGCGTCTAATCTAAGTCATTGGATAAGATATACACCCCATCTTTAAAAAAAATCACAATTTTCAAATCGTGGTTAAAGATCAGAAAACTTTGCTTGAAGGGCAAATTTGAAATATTTTAAAATAATGGATTGCAAGCATTAAAGAAGTCTTTATATAATGGCAATACATGTCAGATCTGGGGACAGAGGCCTGAAATCTTAACTATTTGGAAGGTCAAGGCAGGAGGACAAAAAGTTCAAGGCTAGCCTGGCCTATAGAGGGAATTCTAAACCAGGTTTAAAAGCTTAATGAGATTATATCTCAAGATAATTTTTTTATAAATCACTGTTCTAGGAAAATAGTTCAGTAGTAGAACACCAACCTAGCATACACAGAGCCATGGGTTCTGTCTCCAGTATTGCAAACTGATTAGTTAATTAAAATTAAAACTAAAAAAAGGGAGTGGGGATAGGGTGGGAGGCTGGAGGGGATGGTGGGGGGATGCGGGAGGAGAGGAGGGAGAGGGAACTGGGATTGACATGTGAAGCAAGCTATTTAAAATTAAAGGAATAAAAGTTTGTTAAATTAAAACTAAAAAACAGTAATACGTGAATGCAGTAGTAAATGAAAGTTGAAAGATAGGATCTGGGGAATAAATAGCAACATTTATAATGATAACAGCTAACACATGGGATACATGTATGAAATTCAAAAATAAGTAAAAATATAATATTAAGTGATAATTGTAACCATTAATATTAATGATATGATCATGAAGAAAGATTGGAAGAAGTTAAAGGGTTAACCATAGTTAAAATTTTTTAGGTTGCTCTCTCTACATGTGAACATCTGCCATTTCCTATCTTAGCCTACAGGTCTGTTGCCCTCAGAAATTTCTTTTTCATGTGATTCCTCCTTCCCCAATCTGTCTTAAATGGTGAAAACTTAGGAATGAGCAGCTGGTATAGATTGTCCTCTGAAGACATAACTGAGTGTCAGCCTATATAACAAGCCACAGATCTCTGCTTTAGCAATCCCAATATTCAGCTGAGCTGTCAAGACTGTTAGAATAAACTAGATCACTGCCCAATCAGTTCACTCTGTGTTGTGAAAACATACCCCACTGCCTAAAATGTTGGCCTGTTGCTTTAGTTTCCTCCATTTCTGCCTCTAGGCATAGTACAGATTAAACAAATGCAGACAGATGAAATCTGACATATGGCTTCCATCAAGGTCTAGTGATAAAAAGGTCTCAGATTCAGACAGTGATTTCTATTGTTTCTTTCTAAACATACTCATTAGCACATGTAAGTAGATTGGAATAGACAAAAATCAAATTGTAAGTGAAAATTTTAAATCTAAGTATTAAATGATTTGCATAAAGAAACATGCTAAAATTTGAGATCTATACATATAAAATTTGTCCTGGGGACTGCAATTCAGAGCTTTGTAATGTGCTAGGCAAATCTTCTTTCACAGCTAATGATTTTTTTTGAGACAAGGTCTCCCTATGTAGTCCTAGCTGGCTTCAATCTCATTATGTAGCTCAGGATGGCCTCAAACTCACAAATACCCAAATGCCTCTACCTCTGGCTCTAAATTAGTTATCTTATTGATATCACAAGGAGACCTACTCTTTTCTGAAAGGAAATGAAGGAACAGTGGTTTCTGGGGGGAGAGGGGAGGGAGGAGTGGAGGAGACAGGAGGCTGCGGTCTGGGTGTATTTATGACAGGAGAATAAAGAAAAAGAGAAACAAAAAAAAGACATGCACCATCATACCTGGTTAGGGGTATTTTTCACTTATTAATCTATGTTCACTTTTTTAACTTTTTTTCACTTTACTCAAATATTAAAAGCAATTAATTTCTTGGAGTTATGTTGTAAAAAAAATCTTGCTGATTACTTTAAATAACTACCCTTTCTGTTTTAGCATAACCACAAAATTAAAAACTGTGGTTAATGAGTTTGTATTGTTTCCATTTTGTATTCTTTTCTGATAAGTATTTTAGAAAATCATTTCAAGATGCAATTTTTGGTGAGCAGAGTTATATAGGCAACTGGTACAAGAATGTCAATCACACCATTCTAATGTGGGCCATTCCAGCTCTCTTTTGGAACAATTTTACAACAGATAGCGTCAAGTCAGCACACACAGTCCTGACTGGGCTTCCGAAGCCTGAACCCACCTTACAGCATGTGTTTGAACAAGCTTTTGACATTTCTAATCCTCAGACACTTTATCCATACTACAGGAATCATCATACGATTCCCTTGAGGGTTAAGTATGATAAACCATGATGTGTTCAGTACATCCTTTGGGGAATATTTATCAATGCTAATTATTATCTTTAGCATCACTAACATATTTTTTAATTATGTGGTCAATAGTTTCCTGACACAATAATAAATTGGCATTAAATTCCATCCTAGTGATTTTAAACTGCTTCAATTGTGAAACAAATACATTTTATGTAGTTCAAGAAAAGAATTTAAAATCTACCATTTTTTGGCTACACAGAAATTTAACATTCAGAAGATAATTTCAATATGGTAAGATCTCAATTGATCAAACAAAGTTATTTTCCTAAGAAACTCCATTCTGTCTACATATATCTCCAAACTATCGTGTTTACTATCATGGTGACCCCAATTCTGCTTTGAATCTTCAAAATTTAACTGATGATGTGGTCAAGGATCTTGCCTTAATTTTCCATATGGGTCTGCTGTGTAAAAAGAAATTTTAAGCTACTTTTCTCAATATTAATGATGAACAACATAGAAAACAGAAGAATGGTGCACAGTGATGCAACCATAGCCCTGCCTACAGAGCACTACTTTCTTATTCTGATTTATCTAACTTGATTGCTGAGTGCTCGGTCGCCTCCCATTAAATCACTGGGCGTGTCCTTGAAAGGGCAGCTCACGCCAATCTGAGTCCTAGCAGAAATAACAGGCAGAAAACAACTAACGCACCACCAAAAGAAGGGTCTACGTTTTGATCATTTGTCTATTGAACGGATTAGTGGTGATCAGAACTTCTAATTATCTGTGACAGGAGTAAATACTCTCTAGTGACAGCCTCTTTTGAGGCTACTTACGATCATCTAGACACATTAAAAGATGTGTATTTTCATAGAATGCTTAATAAAAATCCCTGCCTGAGTCAGCCATCTCCCATCATGCTCCTTCCTTCCCCATCCTTGCCCTTCAAAGCTGCCTTTTCAATTCCACAGATGATCAGGGCAGCACAG